GCAAAAAAAAGATAAAAATTTTTTTTACAATGGCAGCGATTTTTAATAATAATAATTTTTTTTTTTAACAAAATCGCTGCTGTGGCAGCGATTTTTAATAAAAAATATTTTTATTTATTTTTTACAAAATCGCTGCTGTGACAGCGATTTTTAATTAAAAAAAAGGAATTTTTTTTTTAGACGAAATCGCTGCTGACGCAGCGATTTTGCCCTTTTGATTAGAAAAAAAAGTGATGTGCCCTTTTGGAATTTTTGACAATTTTACTTTGAGATAAGTGTCAAAAACACACTTAAACTATCCCATTTTTTTGAGTTTCATACCTAAACTATTGAAAGTGTGAGTTTCATACCTAAACTATCATTTTTTAGTTTGAGAAACACACCTCTGAGGTGTGTGTAATGCACTCTCTCTTTTATTTGAAAAAACCTTGATACATGGCATTCCACATAGATAAAATATTCCACCTTGACAAAAATTAACCCCATCCTATTTAACCCTCCACTTCTAATTTATTTTACATTTTTTTCGTTTTGTGTTATATATGTACATATATTTCTAGGATTTTTTTTTACTTGTGTACCGTATATAACATAAATAAAAAAATTATTTTAAAAAAGTCTTGCAGCGGCAAGTAACAAATATTTTTGATATATATATATATGTAACACAAAACGAGAAAAGAAATTGGAAGCGGAGGGTTATGTGACTAGTGGATAGAAATTATTATTTTTTAAAAATAAAATAATATCTAAATTAGAATTGGAAGGGGGATGAAGTAAAAAAAAATATTTATAAAAGAAATTTTAAAACAAAAAAAAAAAAAAATAGGGTCCGGGGGTGGGGGGGTGGAGGGAGAGAAAGTGATAGAGTGGGGTAAGAAAAAATATTTTACTTTTATTTTATAAAAAAAATATTTTTTGGATAATAATTTTAATCTTTAATTTTAACTAATACTAATAATTTATTTATTTTTTGTTCAAAGTGAAATGTTTTGTCCATGTGGAGTGTGATGTGACAATTTTTTAAAATAAAAGAGAGAGTGTATTACACACACCATGGTGAGAGTGGTATAAAAGACGGAGGTGTGTTTCTCAAACTAATAATTGATAGTTTAGGTATGAAACTCACACCCTCAATAGTTTAGGTATGAAACTCAAAAAACAGGTATAGTTTAGGTGTGTTTTTGAAACTTATCTCTTTTTTTTTTGCCCTTTAAGCTCCGGACTCTACTTTTAACTATGGAGCTTTAGGACATAGAGTTCAAATTTCAGGATCTGAGCATGCATAAAATTTAATTAAATCTGTCGAGGGAATGATAAAATTTCCTTTTTTGAGATAAGATTGTTAGAAATTATAAGATAAGCTCTAGCTAGCAATAACATAAATATAATATAGAAGTTTGCTTTCGTCTAGATGGGTTTGGATGGAATTTCAAAATTGTAAAATAATAATATAACATCTATGTATGTAAGTTCTTCATCCTAATTCCAACCCTTTAGATTACTTTATATTTTGTTGTGATCATCCTTTTCCGCTGCTAAATGTAGGCGTCAAGCTGATGAAAGGCATGAAGCTCTTTTTTTTCGAAAAGAGTACATTTTCAATAAGCTAAGGCACAAATGAAAGCACATGGACTATTGTGGAAGGTAGTTTTTGCTCTTTCTTTTGTATTCATTTAAGAAAAAACAGATCCGATGGATTAAGACTCAATTACTTTTGCGTGGTTTGCATTATATTGAGATATGTGCATTAATATATATTTCATTCAGTACTTTAGATTAGATTATTGTAATTACGGCTACTAATCACTTCAAGAAAAAGGCAGCACCATTTGCCATATAAATGTGATAGTAGAGAATTACATATACTTTAGCATGTGTGATGCTCTCATGCATTGATGTTAAAGTATAATCATTTGCAATCTAAATGGCCGATGTAAACATCACTCTCCAATAATTAGTTGTTGTTCATATGTCATAAGTTACCTGCACTCTTTTTTCCTTTGTAATTTTACATCAAAACAAAGTTTAATAGAAAACATTACTTGCAATATTTATAATATTTGGCCACCGTCTAGTATTGCAAATATGCATCAAACACCCTTATTAAACAATTTATTGTTCTCAAAATATATAAGACAAAACATAGATAAAAGTGACAAAATAAATATACAAATTCCCCCCTATCACATAATTTACCAGAACTATCAACTCATATTGTATTTAACATGAGAAATTTGGATGTGAATTCATTAAATTGTATTTTCTTGTGATTAAAAATATCAAATTTGTAATGTTGTTGTGTGTTCCACTTCCACAGTAGTTGCCCTTTTGAATGGTTCACATTTTTGTATGGGGATTTACCAAATCAAACTAAATCTAAATTTAATAGTACTTAAATATTTGATATCAATTATCAAATTATTAAACTCAAACTTTAAAAGTACCTAATGGATGTGAAGACGCGGAACCATGATTAAGAATTTGGGGGTTCTAAATTTCCTTTAGAACCGTCAATCAATTTTGTTAGGGGTTCACAAATTAATATACATATATATTTAATTGATTTTCTAGTACAAATACAAGATCTACGAAAAAGCTACTGGGTTTGTCCGAACCCACGAATCCCCCACCTAGCTCCGCCTATGCCCCTTGTAACATAAGTTTTGTCTTATGTAAAAAAAAAAGTAACTCATGGAAGTAGGGGTATTTTACGGGTCGATTATTAGTCAAAACCAAAATTTAATTAATTTAATTGATTATAAAATTCTTAAAACGAAAATCAAATCAAATATAGTATATATTTATCAGTTTGAAAATTATTGATATTGATTCGATTATTAGTCATACACGGAAAAGAAATTCAAAAGTCCCAAAGAGGAATTAAAATACAAAATTTGTTAGCAAACAAAGAACTACATAAATCCCACTACTTTAAATCCTAATTACTAGGAATCCCTTTAGTTTTTAATATTACTTTCTATACCACTTTCGGCTATCGGATACATGTACCTTAAGCCGTTAGATACATGTATCTAGCAGATTTAAAAGGACGAGATAAATGATTTAATTGATTTGAATTAAATTATGTAACTTAATTCCTTAATTAAAGGAGTAAATGATGAGGTATTAACAAACAAAACGAATTTAGTGGATCCCTTTGTATCAATTATTATCAATTTTAATATGAAATCTAAATCATAAACATTAGTAATTCTGAAATTGTAAACTTCATCTTTTTTTTCTTTTCTTTTTACTCTCAATATCACAGTATTATCAGTTTTAATATGGAATCTAATCTGGTTGTGTGTTACTTGCTACATACTACCAGCCACGTTCTTTCTGCATTTAAAGTTCAAGAAAAAACCCATCCATCTAGTCACCAACTATGAAGGAAATTCCAACTTAAGATACTCAAATCTAATTCTAATCTTTATCAGAAAATAAATTATTTAACCCTTAATAGTGATTTGGTGTTAAGGCATTCGGGTTCATGAATCTCTAAAATCGAATATGAAAATTATAGAAGGAAATAAGTTACACCCTTTAATTCAAAGTAATAAATTGTGTATCTCGACTTTTAAAACCGATGGATACATGTATCTCGTGAGTAATGATAATGTATCTTAATGACAAAATATTCGAAACTTTAAGATACAAAGAAAGGAATTGATGAAGAAGATGAAGTTTACAATACTCAGTTACATGAAAGTAATGAAAATCACAGTATTGTTGAGGCATTCGGGTTCATGAATCTCTGAAATCGAATACGAAAATTATAGAAGGAAATAGGTTACACCCTTTAATTCAAAGTAATAAATTGTGTATCTCGACTTTTAAAACCGATGAATACATGTATCTCGCAAGTAATGATACATGTATCTCAATGACGAAACATTCGAAACTTTAAGATACAAAGGAAGGAATTGATGAAGAATATGAAGTTTACATTACTCAAATACATGAAAGTGGTAAAAATCGAGATACATTAGAATATGAGCGAAAAATTGAACAAAACGTAAATGACTATCTTGGAAGGAGCGGGTATGATAAGTCCAAAAATAATAACATTTGACATTCATTGTCACTATCATAGTTCTCAATTTTTGAAAGATTTCTGAGAATGATGACCTCTCAGCAGGATCAGGGCCCCAACAACTCTCCATTAGCGCTTTTCATTCGGGATCACACCATGGTGATTATCAATAAGTAGTTATAAATGTGTGAATTACATAGGGGTGGGGGTTAGATACATACGAGTAAATGGGATTGGGATGAGAAACGATGGTGTGATGGGATAGAACGAAAATTTTGAATTGTTAGTGTCCCATTAATTAAGGAGATTAGACTTTAAGATAATTATTCATTTCCATGTTTAAGGAATTTGTGTATCTAATTTAACTTTTTAAAATATATGGTATAATTATTAAAAAGTGGTATTAAATGTAAAAATTTTAAACTAGAAATAAAATATGTATATATGATAGTGAAGTATGTCTTATTAAATATTTTTTCCAACAAAGAATAACCAAACAACCCCCAATCACTCATTAAAGCCCAACAAATCTTGACGAGATTTGATTTTTTACCCCGCAACAAAAAAATATGGAGCTTGGATCTGAATTGGTCTTTTGTTGGACTTTTTATTTTGAAATTATTTGCTTTCATAAATAAATTATAAATAATTTTATGATGAAAATATATATAAAATATTTTTAATTATTCATAAAAAATAATATATTATGTATAGATAATTATTAAAAAAATACATATAATTTGTTTGTTCGGTTCAATTCAATAATTTCTTCATTTTTTAACAAAACAAAATCAAACCCCTATAAAAATTATTTACTTAATTGATTTGGTTCGTTGAATCCAATTTTTACCCAAATTGTAAACACCCCAAAAGTCTTTGAGTGTTGCAAAAGAATACTTTATCAAAAAAGTACCAGATCTAAAGGAAAAAGTACCATTCTTTAAGCGTACTTTAGGGAGAAAGAGCAAATTGTTTCATCAGTCCCCATATCACAAACAAGTCCACATTTGACTCTTTTTAACTACGGCAAAAGAGTAGAGATCTCCCAATATTTTTCAATTCCGTTCGCCGATTTGCTTCCGCCGCTGCTCGCCGGCGCCGCCGATTAAATCCAGGGTCCACAGATATTTGTGATAACAACTTCTATCTATTACGGTAAACTGTTTGGTCGCTATTTCATATTCTTTTTGGCTTGAAATTTGAATTTTGGATTATTTTTATTTTTAGCTTGATTCAACTGAAAATTTGGGTTTCGGATATCTGTTGTTGATTTTTGAGCATCTTATTGCGAAGTTTGATCATTTAATCAACTATGTCGGTGTCAATGTTGAGCTGGTTGAGATCGTTTACAGGAAACTTTTATTATTGTTCCTCTCTACTTGGACTTACTTATTTTAATGCTTGATAATTGTTTTATTGAGTTTGAGGCGCGCCTTGATGCCAAGTCTTAAATAGTTGAGTTGAACTGAGCTGTCAAAGGTTTCGATTTGGCTTACCTCATAACAGCCTGAAAGTGTTGATGGAAGTAGATCTTGTGCTAAAGATTTTATAGCTCAGTATTGTAGAAAGACATTACGGGACCTCCTTTTTTAGTTTCTTCAAAGAATATAAGTTCAAACTTTAGTAATCATAAAAAAAATGGAATTACATGCTGTGAAGGTTAAAAGAGCGAGGAGAGTAAAACAAGGAAATGAAAGGCTGCATTGGATTGAATTCTCTTTAAAACTTCTTCTCCGGAGTTTTCTTGATCATCAAGTGTAGTGTATCCTGCTAGGAGTCATGAAATCCGGCTTGTTAGAAAAAAGGGTGTCTGATATGTTATTTTACAAAAAAGCGTCTGATATGTTATTTTACAATGTTAGCCACCCTCTTCATTTAGTTGATCTTGATAGGCAAATAATTCCTTTTGGAAGAAAACTAAAGTTTGCGAGGATTTTTCGGCGGAAAAAACTTACCAGCACAAGATGTTTGCACCGACCATAAATGAACATGTGATCTTGACCTTCTTTATCACCAATTAAGAATATAATTCATTAATTCATATGTATTCTCTACTTGGTTTGTATTTTATGCTTCTCTTAGAGTATTTTTTAACTTGGCTTGGTACAAGCTGGATTGTGTGAAGTGACTCTTCTTGAAGACATTTTTACGGACTGCAATGAAGTTTTGACCTTGAGGTTGAGTTTTAGGAAGGTAGATATATTTTGAATGATATATTAATGCATGTTACCTTGCTTAGGACATGTAACATGTCAAACCTTAACTTTCTTTGGTTAATCATATTATGATGATTGACTAAATGTTGGTGTGCACTGTGCAGGTTGTAGCTCTTTGCAAGGATCAACTTTTATCTAAAAAGGGAAAGATCAAGGTAAACCATTAGAATTCCTCAGTTAGGATTACTAAAGCGAGATTAGCTAAAGCACATCTGTCCTATTGACAAGGGTCTTCTGCTACCCAACTGCTCGATCAATGTTCACCTTTAAAAAATCTAAATAATATCAGTTATTACTCATTTCTTTTTAAAACATCCTACTGAGAATAAAGTGTGCCGGTGCGATTGAAAGTGCCTACTTGGTTGCTGTTTCATGGATATGAAGTCTCCTTATGGGGTGAATGTTAAGAATTGATTACAATGGATAGGGATTTTGGAGAAGGCATGCCGGGACAGCAAAATAACTTTGAACAAGCTCGTTATAGTTCTATAGACACTAGAACAGAGGTCATTGGTTCTTCAAACCAGAAATTTTTCCAGGATCCATCAAGTTCTATCAATACAGACATAAGACCACCTGATTTCACTGTACCAGTCGGAGCTAGACCTGTAATGAACTATTCCATTCAGACTGGCGAGGAGTTTGCTCTAGAATTCATGCGTGAAAGAGTTAACCCAAAGCAGAACCTCATTCCTCATGCTTCTGGGGGTACTGCTGGTGCAACTTCTTGTATGGACCTGAAGGACAAAAGTGGAATATCTCATACAGGTTCTGAAAGTGGATCAGATATCGCCATGATCACCTCAGTTGGAAAAACTCAAGTTCAACATCATGAGAGGTCTACTTCTGTAAATGAAGGGATAAGCAACCACCAAGCTGTGCAAACTGAAACTAGAGCCTTATCAAGAAATAACAACATCCATGGAATTCAAAGTCATATGTCTTCTAGATCTAGTACATTAACAAAGTTGAAGTTCCTCTGCAGTTTTGGTGGTAGAATTATGCCTCGTCCAAGTGATGGGAAACTTAGATATATTGGAGGTGATACGCACCTCGTCCGTTTAAGAAATGATGTTTCTTGGGAGGAATTCAGGCAAAAGATGTTGACTATATTTAACAATTGTCACACAATAAAATATCAGCTTCCTGGTGAGGATCTCGATGCATTAGTGTCAGTTTCTTGTGATGAAGACTTGCAGAATATGATAGAGGAATGTAATGTATTAGAAAGTGATGGATCACAAAAATTGCGTACATTTCTCTTTTCTTACAGTGACTTGGATGATTCTCTGGTTGGTCTGGAGAATATTGAAGGAGATTCAGAAATGCAGTATGTTATTGCTGTCAATAGCATGGACTTTGGTTCAAGAAGAAACTCCACTGCTCTGGCAAGCACTTCAGAAAAAAACCTGGATGAGTTTCTGAGTGCAACAATTGCTAGGGAGAATGGTCAAGTTGCTAGGCATGTAGCAGGGGCAGATACTTCTGATCCAGTCATTGGCATCCCTCTAACAAGTCAATCTGCTCATGAAGGTGTATCAATTTCATCACATAGAATACTTGGGTCAAACTTGGGGCATGACTCCAATCAACTGGAATACTTGGGTCAAACTGTACATCATGGTGGTGCTGAATGGCAACCTTTACCCTCTTCCATATCAGTTGACAACTTTCCAGGTGTAGGTGGCAAAAACCTGGTTCTTCCATCTATGCAAGTGCAGTATAACCATGGTTATCATCCACCCAACTCTTCACAACTTACAAATAACTTTCTTGTAAGTTCGAGTCATGGTTACATGAATTGGAAAGGAGTCGAGCAGTCTTACGAGAGCTCACATATGAATGACCAAGAATCACATGCTACAGTAGTGAATCTGAAAAGAGATAACTATCCCCGGGAGATGTTTGAACTTAGTAAAGCCAAACCTCGAGAGAAGGAAGTGCCTGAGGAGGGAAATATAAAGATAGAAAGCTCTTTTCAGAAAATAAATGAGCCTGAAAAAATGTGGCCTTTGGAATGCAAAAAAGTTGTTTCCTCAAACCCACTGAATGATTCCGCCTCAAGTCACGTTTCTAGAGTTGAAGTTCCGAATTTCACTGCTGTGGCAGTTGTTGGAAACGATGTTATACAATCTAAAATTAATGACAAGAGTCAGGAACAAGTTCAGAGTTCAGCATCTCCTGTAGCTGTTCAGGAAGAAAAACTTGATAGGTTCACAGAAGATGGCTTCTCCGGATCTGGTAGAATATCAAATTCTGGCTATGGAGACTCGGGGGCAAACCCACATGACATTAGCTACGAACAACCATCAATTCCTCCACGGACTTTTCGCTCTGAATGGATACCCAGGGAACAGCCCGGCCTCAATCGTTTATCCAAATCTGATGATTCTGCTGCCTCGCAATTCATAATGGCCCATGCATATTCTGAAGGCTCACAGCAGATCATAGAATCCGTTAATAAATTAAATGATGGGAATGTGGCTCCCCAGACTGAGCATTTTGTACCTTCTGGAAGATATGGGAATGTGGCTCCCCAGACTGAGCATTTTATACCTTCTGGAAGATCTTTGTCTGCTAATCAACAAGCTACTGCAGATAAAGGGGTAAAACTTCAGGAATCTCAAGAGTTAAGTGTCAGTGCCAGAGAAGTTGATACCAAGGTTGGTGGAGAACTTTCTGAAGCAAATTATAAGCCTGAGCTGAAAGCTGCAACTTATGCAGAGAAAGTGAAATCTGGACTAAGTGATCCTATCCTAAGCAATAATATCCAGGCTGAGTCTGCTTCCAGGAAGACAGAGCTTCATTGGGGTGATGCATCTTCACATAGAGTCGAGGGAAATAAAGAAGCAGAGCAACTACACTCTTTGGCTGAGAAAGAATGTCAGGTTGGAGCAGCAGTTTCCACAGGGATACCCTCTGGTACTGTTGGTACACTTGAGCATGGAAGCATTCTTTTTGACATTAATGACCGCTTTCCCCGTGATTTTCTCGCTGATATATTTTCCAAAGCCAAGCTTATGGATGCCTTACCAGTACCTGCCCCACTGTACAGTGATGGAACTGGTTTGAGCTTGAATATAGAGAACCATGAACCAAAGAACTGGTCCTTTTTTCAAAAGATAGCTCAAGGTGATTTTGATAGAAGAAATGTCTCTTTGATGGATCAGGATCATCTTAGTCTGTCTTCTACTCGTGCAAATGTTGATGATGGGGTGTCTATGGATTATGGCTATCCTCCTTTAAAGGGTGATGGAACAATGTTAGATCATATGGACTCTCAACTCAATATTGTAGCTGAGTTCCAGCAAGCATCTCCTGAAATTGTTGTCCCAGACACCATGGATTTGCCTTCCGAGTACAACCCTTCTCAAACCACTGACGTTCAAAGTATGCAGTATGATGTTGAATTGAGTTCAAAAGTACCTGAATCGGGTTATCAGGTATTTTTTAGTAGTTCAGATTTCTAGCAGCATTATTTTGCTTCAATTTGAAATTATTGTATTTTCCAGTAACATGCTAATATGGTGAAGTAAATCCTTTTATATAACATGAAGGATGAGAACCAAGGAGCTCAGAATGCTGGCTTTCCGCTTACCAATCTCCCGCTTGGAGACTTTGATCCCAATTCCTTGCAGGTACTGTGGACTTTAGCTAGTAATTTTTATTATCTTTGGTTTCACGGCGAAATATGTATTTTTATTGGTGGTTGGATATAGGTATAAAAGATGCCTTGATAATTAGAAAGAGAACTAAGGCTACTTTTGGAAAGAAGTACTTGGAAGGAAGTAAGAGGAGACGAATGATGCTACTCCACTAATTATTTACTTATAATACATCACCCTTTCTTAACGCTAAATTTCTGAAAAAATGCTCAGGCACTTTTCCCGAGACTGACCTTCTTTAGTCTTTCAACTCAATCGGATATACTACTCAGGGGGATATTCCAGTGGTTTTGACCAGAATCTTTTTCAGGTTCCATTATTTTACATCATGGGTGAAAGGCGGATCTATTACAATGCTGGTTTTAAGTCCTATGACATCCAATTAAAAAGAAAAAGAAAAAAGTTCTATGATATTACCAGAAAAAGAACAAAAGTTATTTTAAATTTGAGAATTGGTGGTTAAGAACGGATGGTTTCACAGATAGAATTGGGGAGTGGTGGGACTCTTTCGATTACATTGGGACACCTGACTACATCCTGGCATCTAAATTAAAAGCTTTGAAACATAAATTGAAGGAATGGAATAGAAGTGAGCAAGGAAGTCTTGGCCAACAGAGAAAGAATGTTCTTGAAAAGCTGGCTGCTGTGGAAAATATAGCCACTGATAGAGCATTGACAGGAGATGAAGCAACGGAAAAGGCAACTTTACTTCTGAAACTGGAGGGTTTAATAAAAAATGAAGAGATTTACTGGAGACAAAGGTCAAGATCTGTTTGGTTAAAGGAAGGGGACAAGAATACCAATTTCTTCCACAAAATGGCTAATGCACACAAGAGGTATAACAACATAGATCAACTGCTCATTCAGGGGAATATAGTCCAAGATCCAGAAAGGATCCAAGGGGAAATAGTGGAGTTCTACCAGAAACTTTACTCTGAAAATATTCAATGGAGACCCGACAACAATTTCTTAAACTGTCCAAGGCTAACAGGGGAGGAAATAGAGGACCTAGAAAGAAATTTTGATGAGGAGGAGGTTCTGAGAAGTTTAAAGCAATGTGCAGTGGATAAAGCACCAGGACCAGATGGCTTTACAATGGGGTTCTACATCAAATGTTGGGAAGTGGTCAAGGGTGATATCATGAAGACCTTTCAGCATTTCTATGACCAAGGGAGGTTTGAAAGAAGTTTTAATGCTACCTTCATAGCCTTGATTCCAAAGAAAAAGGGTGCTAAAGAACTAAGGGACTTTAGACCTATCAGTTTGATAGGAAGCATCTATAAAATTCTCTCAAAAGTGCTCACTGAAAGGCTAAAACGAGTGATGTCCAAACTTGTTAATTCACAACAGCTAGCTTTTATTAAGGGGAGGCAGATCATGGATGCTGTTCTAATAGCTAATGAAGCTATAGATTCCAGGTCAAGTTTGAAAAAACCAGGCATCTTATGCAAATTAGATATTGAGAAAGCATATGACCATGTCAACTGGGATTTTCTTATGGGTATGCTAGAGAAGATGGGTTTTGGTCTCAAATGGAGACAATGGATTAAATTCTGCATATCTTCAGTAAGCTTCTCAGTGTTGATAAATCTGTGGAAAATATAGCCACTGATAGAGCATTGACAGGAGATGAAGCAACGGAAAAGGCAACTTTACTTCTGAAACTGGAGGGTTTAATAAAAAATGAAGAGATTTACTGGAGACAAAGGTCAAGATCTGTTTGGTTAAAGGAAGGGAACAAGAATACCAATTTCTTCCACAAAATGGCTAATGCACACAAGAGGTATAACAACATAGATCAACTACTCATTCAGGGGAATATAGTCCAAGATCCAGAAAGGATCCAAGGGGAAATAGTGGAGTTCTACCAGAAACTTTACTCTGAAAATATTCAATGGAGTCCCGGTAATAATTTCTTAAACTGTCCAATGCTAACAGGGGAGGAAATAGAGGACCTAGAAAGAAATTTTGATGAGGAGGTGGTTCTGAGAAGTTTAAAGCAATGTGCAGTGGATAAAACACCAGGTGCAGATGGCTTTACAATGGGGTTCTACATCAAATGTTGGGAAGTGGTCAAAGGTGATATCATGAAGACCTTTCAGTATTTCTATGACCAAGGGAGGTTTGAAAGAAGTTTTAATGCTGCCTTCATTGCCTTGATTCCAAAAAAAAAGGGTGCTAAAGAACTAAGGGACTTTAGACCTATCAGTTTGATAGGAAGCATCTATAAAATTCTCTCAAAAGTGCTCACTGAAAGGCTAAAACGAGTGATGTCCAAACTTGTTAATTCACAACAGCTAGCTTTTATTAAGGGGAGGCAGATCATGGATGCTGTTCTAATAGCTAATGAAGCTATAGATTCCAGGTCAAGTTTGAAAAAACCAGGCATCTTATGCAAATTAGATATTGAGAAAGCATATGACCATGTCAACTGGGATTTTCTTATGGGTATGCTAGAGAAGATGGGTTTTGGTCTCAAATGGAGACAATGGATTAAATTCTGCATATCTTCAGTAAGCTTCTCAGTGTTGATAAATGGTTGTCCATCAGG